AACACGCAAAGTTTGCTGGAAAATCACACTGTGTGGGAGCTTAATATTTACATAGATGTTCACGGAATGTGATCACTTATAAAGTGTGTTTATTCTGGTGTGTTATTTTGAGTTGTTAGTTCACCTCAAAAAAAAAAAGTTTTTATCATTTACTCGCCTCACCACATCTGATGCCATTTATAACACTTCCACACAGCTCTAGGTCATATTATGGTCAGGTCAAGACTAAACGGCACTTACTGTACAGTGTAGGATCACTATCAGCTGTTGATTATGCATTCAGAATTAGGGCCGATCAGAGGTCTACTAGAGTGATTAATTATATAAAGATTACCAACTCAGAACTGTCACTTTTGATCAATTTAATGCATCCTTGCTGAGTAAAAGTATTGATTAAATCAATAAATGTGAATGGAGATCTAACTGACTGTGAGATATTGCATGTCTCTAATGCAATGCAGTAGTGTAAGGAAATATTGCATCGAGTTATAGTTATTAATTATAATATAATTAATGTCAATGTCTCTCTCTTTCTTCTCAGGCTCCAAATCTGGAGGCGCGTGAGCTGTGGAAAGGTTTTCTCTACTCTGTCGTAGATGTACGTTCAATCAAATGAGGAAATGTTTTTTAACAGAAGTTGACATATATTCTTTAGTCTCACAGATGAGTTTATGCCCTTACATAAATGGTCATAATGCTAGTTTAAAAGCGCTAGTGTTTTGTTATTGCACACTAGAAGCAGGTCAAGTTTTGGATGTCAATAAACACTTACAGCTTCTCCTGCAGAACAACAAATTCCGGTCAGACTTATTCTTTTTAGCACATAGTCTTGAATAATACTGTTGTTCTGAGTTTGTTAATGAAATCTCAGACCTTTGAACTGCAGGGTTTGAGTTTTATGACCATGTTTAAACAATGCAACAGATACCTTTGTTTCTTTTGGTTTAGGAAGGATTTGGTATGAATGTAACAAAAGCTTTTTGGAAAACAGGAAGTGGGATTATAATGGGCTATTTTAGATTTTAGATTACTTGTTTTTTATTTTATGCTCATTTTTTAGACTATTGTAGACTTTGGTAAATCTAGTATTGTGAATGTGTTTTTTCAGATTTCTCAAGAAGTTATATTTTGAACTTATATTATCTTTTTTATAATTAAACCAGTTTATATGAATGTTTTTGTTGGACTTTAGATGTATAATAAAGTCGATGTTCCGTCCATCATAAAACATGACCAGGTGTTATAAAAACTATTTATCAGCATCATATCCACTGGCTCTAGTTCAACACCACCAAAACACCTCCCACACACTGCTTTAGAGATTCTGCTCACTTGTTTTCATAGATAAAGAGATCAGAGTCCCCATGCATAAAGCGTCACTATGGACTGTATATTTAACCGTGCAGAATAGAATGACATATGCTTTGGGTTTGATTCCAGCTGGCTGTGCCCACGACTCTCACCCTCCTGCCCGGCCAGCTGCACATGCTGAAAGAAGTCGTGGAGAAAGAAAAAATGCGTCGACAGGAACGCGTGTCTTCCAGAGCCCCCTCGTCCCCGCTCTCGCTCCCACTGGTGGGGGAAATACCTGCGTGAGTATCTGTTTATGTGAGCGAGTGGGTTTGGGGGAGAAGGTTCATAGATGACATTCTTGACTGTCTGAGTGTTTATGCATAGCTAAAACATCACTGTTAATATTGCTCTTATAGAAGTAGGGCTGGTACTTTTTGCCTGCCTGATAAAACAGATGAAAAATTTAATGGATTTACATTGTGTCCTACCCAGCAATAAAAAGACAATGTAAAACTAATTTCATATGTCAGTTCGCAGAACTACCAAATTGAGCCAATATATGTGATGTTTTAGAGATCCTATCTTCATTTGGATTTTTTTCCAAAGATGTATGTTTTATGAGGTATATGCACTGGGGTTGAACTTTAAAATCTATTGACAGACTGTATATGCTACTATTGTCATGTTTTGCCACGTTCTTGTTAAAATGACACCGCTTACTAAGGTACCACTTCTCAATACTTAAAAACTGTTTGGCTGGGATTAGATCATTTTGTTTTATTTTGACCTCTATTTGTAGATCATCCTTGTCATTTGTAGGCTTTCTTTACCAAAATCTTCTGCATACTTAACTGATGTGAATAATCACATTCTTAGTGGATACTTGAGACAAATGTTAATGTAGTTGTGCTTCTGTGTTATTTGGCAGGTGTTTCAGGCCTGTGTCTCGTACTGAAGCTGAGGTGCTGTTAGAAAGACATCCAGACTGTGGGAACATGCTTCTCAGACCAGGCCGAGACGGATCTTCACTCGCCGTCACCACACGACAAGACCTGAATGGGTAAAAACACTGAAACGTCTCTGTCTCTCTCTCAGTATGATTTATTTCTATTTTAATTTATCAGTGAGAGCATTAACCTCCAAAAATACACTTTGGCTCTGTTCTAAAATCTAGTAAGCTGTCTTGCTGTCATAGGAAGCTGACTACTAAGGCAGCATCCTAAACCACATAAAACCTCATTAGTGACTAGTTAGTTGTTCTTAGTAGATAGCAACTCTGATAGGGGTGTACCGGTAGGAGTATCGGTACCGAACGGTTCACGGGCAAATTCCAAATGGATAAAGATAATTAAGAAATTACATCGCTCCCTTTGCCAAGTGCATTCCAAACAAGTACATAATGGCACGCACGTGCCCTGCTCACTCCAAAGGTCCCCTCTCCAAGGGGATAGGGATGATCACTTCCATTTGGAATTTGCCTGTGAACCGTTTGGTACACGATACACGTACCGTTACACCCTTAAACTCTGAACACTAAACAAGTAATGTTCATGAAATATAGTGCACATGAGTCTGAACTCCAATTAATTCCTGTAGAACATAAAATATACAAAGCATATTTCTGTAAGGACCACTATCGTCAAAGATGATTGACAATTAGCATACAGTTTGGATTGGCGGTATGGTTCTGTTCTGGGCAAGAACTCCCTGCGCATCCATGCAGCCTAGCATGGATGAGAGCAGGGAGAGCAGCAATAACCCCCCCAGGCTAAACAGAACAGAACCAACATAAATGTATTGCAGATATTGTTAAAGTTCAATAATGTTATGTACACATTTTAGAATTAGTCTGATTCAAAGGAGAATCAGAAGGCTGAATCCTGACTGACAGAGGAGGAGCTGGGGATGGAGGAGGGTAATTAGCTATTGAGCAATGCGAAAACTGCTGATAATACTGAGGGACCTTATATATGAATGCTTAGATAGGTGTCGTATTCCCATAGGTTGATGGGGATCAGCTAAGAGTCAGCTGATGCGAGCTTGACTAACGTGACCTGCCAGAACTAACGCTACACTAGATATAGTTGACATTTCATTTGAACTGATCTGGGGCCAGTTGCATAAACTTAGCCACCATCTTAAGACTGTGTCTTAAAAAATAGTTTGACCAACTAGCAGTTGCCAAAGGGTAATCAGTCTTACTTTTCCAATACAAATAAGACCAATCTACCTTTTCATAACTGAATTTAAAAAGCTATGACCAGTCTTGAAGAAAAACAATTAGTTGACTAACTTTTTAAGACTAGTCTAAACCGTTTATGCAACCGGCCCCTGGCATCTTGAATTGTCTTCCTCTGAGCTTTGTGCAATGTATTCTTTAGACCAATTCATTATGAAATCATAAGTGCCTGTTGTGATATCATCACTGGATTTCATTATGACTCCATAAATTATCATAACGACATAACTGCTGGATTTCATTATGACCAAATGAATAGAAATGACTGAATTTTCCTTGTCATTGTTACTGGATTTCCACTTATTTTCACTGAATCAGTGTTACTTTGGTGTTATTTATATACTATTATAGTATTTTATAATATTTTTAATTGGCTTTTATTTTTATATTTTGGTTTTCATTTTAATTTTAGTAATTTTGTAATGTGCTCTTTTTTTCTTTTTTTTTTTACAATATTTCTATCTAGCTTTATTTTAATTTCAGTTTTAGTAATTTTAGTACTTAAATGGAAAAATTTAAATTGTATAAATAAATAATATAATGATAACAATAATTATAATTTTTAATAATAATTATAATATTTTTAAGAAATTACCTTTTTTTTTCAGCAAGGATGCATTAAATTGCTCAAAAGTGACAGTAAACACATTCATAACATTACAAAAGATTTCTGTTTCAAATAAATGCCTTTTTTTTACTTTCTATTCATCAAAGAATTGTGAAAGAAATTATTAATTACCGTTTCCACAAAAATATAATAATAAATGTTTCTTGGGCACCAAGTCAGCATATTAGAATGATTTCTGAAGGATCACATGACACTGAAGACTGGAGTAATTTATGCTGAAAATTCAGCTTTGCCATCACAGAAATAAATTACATTTTAAAATA